CGGGGTTATTATACAACCCCAGGTGCTTTTCAGAAACTCCCATTTGAATAGGAATGTGAATGTGGCTTGGACTGTGGCCATGAGCGTGGGCCGCTTTGAATTGCGTCCACTGACAATACAATTTGACGGGCTTCCATGCGTGCACGCATGTTCAGTGATTTCGATTGTTTTCTCGAGACGTCTCGGGGTGAAAGGACTGCTTTCTATACAAACCCCAATAATAAAACTGGAACCTTTCTTGTAATGACTCTCCATAAGAAACACATAATTCTAGATGCTTCAGAAATTCGTGACAAGCATTCTCCTGCCGCGCCCCGAAAACGAAGGTCCCAATTAAACGCACCCCGATAAACTATTTTGCGCGAGGTGCCTCAACTCAGCTATAGTTCAAACTCCTAGTATCCCTCTTATTAACCCCTTTAAAAGTCCCCTATATAATCCCCTCTATAACCCCCTTGAAAGAGTTTAGACTGTAGCTCACCTAGCCAAGTCTCGAGTTTCCACGGCAATCACACCCATAGGAATTCCACCGAGCTTGGCCCTGCCAACAATCACACTCCGTCCCCAGCCGGCCAAATACCTGAGCAGGACAACGATAACAGCCATCATGCTACAGCTATACTGGGTTGCTGTGAAGGAAGTCAGATTATTAAGTTACCATCGCATGGGTATAGAGTAAAGAAAAGCGTCTCCTTTTTAAAACGACTGAATTTAATTCCTTAACAGCAACCCATTATACTCCTGAAACTTCGTTTTGTCAACTTGTTGCGGGTGACATTTTGAACGGAAGTTGGAACCTGGCGGCCAAGGATGTCGACAAACACTTTAGGATCTTGTAAGGGTCCTCTTCCTCAGGATTCCTCTGGATACGGGCCCTGATTAGGGTATGCCCGCATTATGAGTCGAGGCGCTCTTTGAAGGTGCCCTCGTCGAAAAAGCCCGTCAGCTTGCCATCTTCTGGCGTCGTTACGCCTGCCCAACTTGGAGGTTTAGGGCAAACTAAGAACCAAACAGAATAGTACTCGTAACCCATTTCATCCATCTGTCAGCTCCCTTAGTCCCTGTGCTGACAATTGAGTTTTACATACCAATTATAGCTGGGCGAAACTTACATTGAACCTGCAAGCAGAGATGACCAGCGTCCAACATCATCAGAGTCTAAAGGTTAGGGTTGTGCAAAATCAAGGCCCGCTAGCACTGCGCATCCACATCACAGAAGGAATCCTCAGGGTAAGGATCCCCTGAGAAGGGCAACCTCATGCGCAAGAACTCCGCCTGTGATACCCGCAGAGGCAGTCACAAACACGAGCCAACTCAAACTACGATAACAGAAGCGAAGCCCATCTTCGTAATCAACATCATCAAGGTGCCTGCAATGGCGAACAGGGTGGGGATGTGCTCGGGATGATGAGATTGGCCAAAGCTGGACCTAAATGCTAATATTCATTCTGTCCCTGACTTTCAATCCCTGCAATCCCTTTGAAAGCCTTGCCTGCCAGCATGTGCCGTGGGTCATACGGCGTCTTGGACGGCACGAACGTGACTTCGCGCGAGACTGGGTCAACGGGGTCCAGGATGGGAGGATTGTCGCAGGCCGCTTTCGGCACAAAGGACCTTGCATCATCAGGTGAAGTGGACCCTCGCATGGAAAGGGTTGCGACTGACATGAAGTTGGAATCAGAGCAAAACTATCCCCAATGCCCGTGGTTGCGGCACCTTGATGCTTATTATATCTACAGCAGCCCACAGCTCGACCAACGAGGAAACATGCCACACGCCAGTCTGTGACCATGCCATTTACGTTGAGTCACAACCAGTCAAGAATTGCTGCCACTCCCTCTGTATCATCTGAGACGACCTGGCTGGCACCACGGCATAGAGCTTAGATGCATCAAGCTCAGAGTGCAGGAAGGACATCTTGATGCACCAGAGTGTCTCAATCCATTGTGGAAAACAGGCACAGACTACAATGCCGAATTGAACATGAAGTTGGGCATGGGCATGGACATCGATGCCACTCCCGTTAGTGCTCCCTACAACAAATTGCATCCCATTCCCGACTCAGCATGAATAAGGCTTGCCGGTCCCACCTGGTGTGTCACACCATTTGGCACCATCACCTGCGGTCCTCCGAGCTGATCCTGCGAGGTGTAGACATTCTTGCCCAGGAGCTTGTTCAAGGCAGAGAAGCCTCCACCAGGCACGGGCAGGATGGTTCCATTATGAACGACAAAAAAATCGGAAAGTACATGAAACTACGACATTAACAGCTTGGCTTTCCGGAAGGTTTGGTAGTCTTACGGCACAGCTGCAGCCTTCTGCGGAAAAGAAATGCCAAGGAATCCCGGCCTGTGAGGATCATGGGTCCGTTGACCATCTGGATGACCCTCTGTCCCAGCCTGTTCAAATAGGCACCGATGCCAACTGAGCGGCCCGTTACATAGGACAGGGTGAACACTTCGTTGTATGCCTTGGATGTCTCGCCGGCAATCAGACCGCTTCCTCGCAAGTTCTCGACTCCAATTCCTCCCTGTGTGGACTTCAGACCCTCACCGATGATGGAGTCAATGACATAATGTTTCTTTCCGCCCACTGTCACTGTGTGAGTGTCCACTGCTCCCTCAGGCAGGCTTGTAGCATCCTTCTCCTCAAGGTACAAGTAGTCGAAGCCTTTGGCCGGATCATCATCTGTCCACTTGGCTTTGATGAAAGGCTTTAGCTCCTCTGCCAGGCCCACGCGAGCCCCACTGTTGCACGCGATGTGAATGCGTGGAAGGCCTCGGTGGCGGGCGTATTCGGAGGCTTTCTGGAAAAGCTCATCCTCATCCACGCCGAAGGAGCCAGCTTTGTGGGTTACGTCGTTTGCGATCAGGACAATGTCCCGACCTGCCACTTCATTACATGTTGGGGATGGGGCGAAGATGCCACCACTGGAATCCCGACAGCAAAAATAGAAGTGAGCCAGCATGAATTTGAAGCAACCAAAAACTGCCACTGGAAGTTATGCTCCATTGGCGGGGCCCGAGCTAAGGTTCAAAGCGAGTCCTCCACAAAAATCTATTAGCTTACAAGCCTCAATCTTATGGAACCTTACTAACACAGAACCACGTGGAAAAGAACATGGAACACGAAATGGAAACTCGGGCGAAAAAGCAGCGTGTACCTAGAACATCCCCAGCCTTGCGGGTACTCCGGGCTTTGCAGGGTGCAGCGCCATGCGATCATCCCGATGTTGTGCTGGCCGGGCTCGCGGTCCACCTCTCCCAACCTGAGGCATTGGCAGTTTAGGGTCTATAGGGTTTAGGGCTTCCTCCCCCGAATTTTCCCCCCCAATAAAATGCCTTTATGTTAAGGGGAATGTGCCTGGCAGCTTCTCTGAAAAAACAAAACTGATCTCAACAATACTCCAGCCGCTCCCCATCCTTTCCAAGCACCAGCTCGGTGCTCTTGAAGATGGCGGTGGGCATCTGCCGGGACCCACCAGCTTCCTGGTAGATGTTCCACTTCTTGATCAGCTCGATCTTCAGCATGCCCAAGAAGTCCGGGGCATAGGTGGAGCCAGCATTCCGTGCCAGCGAGCGCCGAAGCTGCAGGCGACTCTTTGCCTTGGCAGAAGTCAGCTGCGTCTTTTCTCCGCTCTTCAGGTCGAACCATTCCTTGGGGGAACCAGTGATGACATCGTAGGTTTCAAGCGCTCCGCTGGTTCGCAGGTACTCGCCTGTCATGGAGCTGGCTGTCAGCCGCAGGGTCTGCTTGCGGTTCAGCTGACTTCCGATGCCAATTTTCACCACGATCTCGTCCACCTTCATCTTTCCGAGCCGACTTTGGTGTCGGGCAACGAAGAGATTGAGGAAGCCTTCCAGCTTGGCATAGGCCTCTGATGCCTCAACATCAACATTGGCCACAATGTGGGCAAAGATGTTGCTGTTAGGCCCATACCCAATCTTGGGATTCAACCGGGCTCGCTCAACTTCGTCCACGGCATTGAGCAGGAGGTTCTCAAGCGAGTTCGTCCAGGATGTCTCATTGTCTGGGAAATCCGACATCGAGTGCTTGATCATGCCTCAGTGTTGCACAAAAGGCTTCATCTGGGCCTTTCTCGCGCTCAGGGTCTCCTTCCTAGCTGTTTTTTCATCAAGGACTGAGGCCACAGCGATATTCCGGGGCCCAAAAGTTGAGAAAGCCCAAGCCGCGTTCAACAACAGCTGGGGCTTTCCACAGCTGATAAAGGCTCCATCCCACAAGAAATCTGTGATGACAATGAGCTTGCCGTTTCCGTACCATGCTACTTTAAGGTTCTCACGACTCCTGCACGTCAAGGGTGCGCATCCTCAACAATTCAGGCCAGGCACGTGCAAAGATGGTGGACGGATTCGTCTTCGAAGGCACTGTGTCAAGTGGCGTTCCAATGTAAACCTGTCAAAGTTCGACAGACTACCAGGCACTCACAGCCTCACGGAAGCACTGCAAAGAAGCTCCCACCTGAGAATTGCGACCCACGGGAGGCATCACCTTCTCCAACTTGTAGTCTTCGGCCAGGCGATAGACCTCCAGGACGTTGGGAAGCGATGGCTTCATATCGCCTGGGCACCGACTGCTTGCATGACTTCTATGTGATCTTTCTTGTCTCTACCCATCCTGCCCAACAGGCAAAGCACTTCAAACTGTGGACCCTGACTCACGGAATTCCTGATATTTGCTATCTTCCTGCCGGTGGGGAGAAAGCATCACTTGGCATCCCCAACATATAGGGAGTTGCTACAATATCCTGTCAGTTGGACGCTGCCCAACAGTTTGAACATGTGCCGAGACACGTGTGGCCAAGTTCTCCTTCCAGCTGTCGCTTGCCATGAAGGAAGCGTAGCGCAAAGCATGCGGCACATTTGACACCACCAGGCCCACCTCTGATGCTCTTATGTGCTTGATGTTTCCCTATCGTTGCTACATGCTCTGTCCTATGCAAAAACAAGTAGAGAAAGCAACATGCCCTTGCCTCGCGGATGCCGGCAGATTGCAGGTTTGCGTTCGCCGCCTTGAGCAGTCCCTCCATTTCGCCACTCATGGCATCGAAGTTGCCATCTCCCGGGGATGTCACGATCACCTGATCAGCCCATGTTTTGCCGTGCTGTTGTTTGCTCGTTGTAGGCTGTGCGCATCCCTGATTCTGCGTGTATATAATCCCGACACTGCTCCTACATATCGTACTTTTCAGGTGATTTTCCGTTTGATTCTCCATTATTATTGGGGGCATCGTTCCCAGCAAGCCCTGGCCTTCATGGTGTTCATGTTGCTGCTGGCATCTTCCATGGGGATGTCTTCCTTTAGCGCTTCCCGCGCAGCAGCGAAATCCGTGACCACCTTGACATGGGCCTCGCGGAAGGAATCCTCGTCTGCAGTGCCTGGGAACTGGAACTTGAAGTTGCAGCGCATGTTGCCAGCCGCCTCATCCTTGACATCCACATCCTGCACGCAAGCAGCGGATGCTGTTCGAACAGGCCTAGCTGGGCCCACAGGCATGAGTATCCTTCACACCAAGTTATGCTTCGATGTTTACGTCGGCGGGCTGGCGCATCCGATGCAGACAGTCCTTGACGAGAAAGGATCGGTACAAGCGTCTCATCAAGGCTGTAAGAGCGTTCGTGCGCACCTGTGTTCTGCAGCATGGGTTGACGGGTAAGAGACTTGTTGGCAAACTGCATGCAGCTTGTACTGCCCACGCCTTTAGTGTGGTGATGTCAAAATCTGTCTGTCTGTCTGTCTGTCTACACTACTGAGACACTACTACTCCTCATGTTTCCGGCTATTTGTCCTGATCTAATGGTTATCACTGGCACCGTGACTACAAGAACTCATTGTTTTCTTGCGTCAAGCACTACTTCTCCTACGAATCGAAACAATAACACCAGTAGGAACAATAATGATGACAAAATGATAACAATGATACCCGTACTCATGAAAGTTCTGGTTACGGCTACAAGTATGAGTCGCATCAGCAGCATCAACCCACATTGTTTTCACATGTCTGCCTTTGCTATCCACGCAGCTCCAACTGCACTTTAGTCTAAACTCTCAGTATCCCCTCAGAACCCCTAGAATAGTCCCGTATATAAAGCCTTTAGGGAGCTTAGACTATAGCTCCAACTGCAGCAAGGCACTTTAGACGAGTCGTCCAAGAGCAGGTCTGACAAGAGTTCTGCACCAGCCTCGCAGGTCCAATTGGTGTATCTATTACCTGGAGGGTCACGGGACTTAGCAGGTAGCTTAATAACGTATAAGCATTATGTACGTATGCTTACTAAGTCCCCCTGACCCCCCAAGTACTCCTAGTTGATAAACTGTTGTCATTCCTACGTAGATCGTGATACGAATTACCGAGTAGATAGGGAGTGTTTGGGTTTCCAGAGATGGCGGGGACCCAAATACAGACCCCAACATATTGTAAAAAAATGTTCTAGGGACTCCCACAAGGACCACTTTTGGAAATCCCCATGTCGGCATTCTGCCAAGGATGACATTCAGACGGCCAAAAGCGTTTTGAGCCGCATCCCCACTTTACGAGGTGCATGTCGGATAGACCCAACAATGCTGCAGTTATGTTGAAGGATGCCCAGAGTTCTTTGCAGTGCTTGCAATCGGAGTAGTCAGAAGGTTCTTCAATTTCGAGGTTTCTGCTGCTTCGAACTTTTGGCAGGCTGAAAACAAACCTGAACCACACTCGTCGCTAGCGTAGCTGCTAATCCCAGAAGCAGCCTTCAGGAATGAATCTAGTCAAGGGCTCCTGGAAGGGTCTGCCAAATCTAGGTCTCCTTATCTACTCACATGATACTTCTCACGCCCTCTTTTTCTAGCCCTCTTTGATTTGGCGCCTCATTTCGTAGTTTTCATATTCTTTTCCATTATCCCTCATATAACCCCTATATATTCCTGAACGACTCTATATCATATCAACGCAATTGCAAAAAGAAACCCTGGCACCTTGCTGGCAGGCATTCGCGAGATAGACTGAAGGTCCGGGCTGTCGGTATCCATCACAGTACGGAGAGCTGCACTCCGCTCCTCTGACAGTCTCGCTAAGGTGATGGTAGCAGTAATAGCAATAGTAGTACTAGCAGTACTAGCAGTAGTCGTAGTAGCAGTAGTAGTTGTAGTAGTAATAGTAATAGCAATGAATGCATTGATGTTTCTGGACCGGCCATCCTTGAACCCCATCCTCGCCTCGCCGATCCATTTGTACCAAGCTTTTCATGTTGAGCTATCGTGGTGCCCTCTTTTGATGGAACGTGGGGAGCACCATGTTAATATCCCTATGCTGATCATACTCTAGCCCCAACAGCATGCTTGATTGTTCCACATGCGCAGAAGAAAGTCCACTACCGGGCCAAAGGTATAAACTTCATGCAGGCATGAGATGATAGGATGTGACTACTGACTACTGACTACTGTCGGTGCAGAGCACAGTTATCGTCATGCGTGGAGCCGCAGGCCTCAGTGAAAGATTCTCCCATTGCTGTTTGGACCACTGTAACTAGAACCCTCCGGGGGCCATGCTACTCGTATGCATCGGATATCACAATTAAACTATGAGCCCAAGCAGCTTCGACTGGGCTAGTTCAGGACCCCTTCCACAAGCCTCCTCTTCTTGCTAAGGAGTAGTAGCAGTGGCTCCTCGAAGGGCTCCGAGCTCAGCAACGCCATGGTCGTCTCCCTTGGCCGAGGAGTCCCTAAAGTTTTAGCACTTCTTAATAATGGGGACACGGATTGCTCTGTCCTGGAGTCCCTGCATTCCTGTTGCCAATTCCCCTTTCCATGACCTAGACACTGCTTGAAGCATGGACTGCTACCAACCAAACTGCTCTCCTCACTTGGCTGACATAGGGGTTGGCCTGCCAGGCCAAATCAACTTCGACCATATCTGCAACAAGCAATGAGCGGGAGTTGGAGCACTTGAGACCCTCCAAACCATGCAAGAGGCTTCTCAATACAAGGGCGTCCAAGAAAAGATTAGCACCACTTCGGCATGTTCCTGAACATATGCACTACTCGAAAGTGACCTAGAACAGTAAATGCCCATTTGAGGAATACAAAAAGGGCCCCGACATTGCGGCTTCATATTACGGAGACCAACGCCTTAACAATGAGCATGGATTGAAACTACAACTTTGCCAGCCTCGTTAGACGGAATGGGAAAGTTGCGCAGGGGACATTTCTATGAGCTGCACTCTCGTAGGCTCCTGTAAAGGCCCCCATAACCAACCCCCCTCCCGTGCGCAATGCACATACTGCATGTGCTGCATACTATATGCCAGCTTGGCGTCGCAACGAGAACCACCTCACCATAGCCGCCTGCACGACATGATAATGACAGCAGAAACACAGCTCTTGTTGAAGATGCTGTTGCAGATGCTGAAACCATCCCAAGCACTTGTCCAGCGAACAGACAAATGCCCCCACCTGTGTTGGCAAGCTCGGCAAGGCGCCCAATCTTCTGCATGAGGTTCACTGAGGGGTTCAGCTTTCGCAAGCTTCGAAGCGCGGCAAGAACCACTTCCTCGATGATGTTCGTGAAAGCCATGTGTATTTGCTAACAAACGATATACCATGTACGCATATCATACGGTCTAGTCAAGGTCTACCTAACACATCAAAGTGTCGCATCGCTGGATCCCCCTAGAGCACGGCAACCATTCAACAAGCAGAATCTCACGGCAATGGCCGCAGCTTGGAGTGACTGCATGACTTAAAGGTCAGATTAGAAGAGTGGCATACTCGGCAGGCGTCTACAGAGACCGAAGCATTATCCTGCACCAGGCCAGAACTACCAGGACCCTCAAGTCGCCACGTTATGTTTAGATTTTCAAGATGTCCTGCTTCACCTTCACATGCGTACCCGGTGAGAAAGTGTGGACAAGTGGCGCTGCGGGTGCCAATCTGGCTGTGTGCCAGAGCCAAAGAAGCCACTGCCGGCAGGTTCTCCTAGCCGATGGGCGAACATCTCATGGGTTTGCAAGGTCTCGGGTGGGGTGCTTCTTCTTCTTCTACGGGCCGCGCCCACTGCGGAAGGAATAGGCCGGCTGGGGCGTGTCGGGCTTTCTGGTACTCCTCCCCTCAGCATTCCATGCGGTCACAGGTCTGGGTCCATAAGGTAGGTTGTGGAGGGGGCCATATGGTGGGTTTTGAAGTGCCGTGACTGCATGGAATTGTTGCCTATGGTGAGTTTGACCACAGCTGCGTGGTTCTCAGGGACACTCGGTCTCGTTTCTGTTACGGCTTGAGAGCACTTTCTCGGATGCAGGCAAAACTAAAATCGTAGCGACCCCTCTCAAGAACCTCGCAAACTGATGCACCATCAATTGGATACGCCGCGCTCCTGTAGATGACCATCAGGAACCCATGTAGGAGGCATGCACTCAGCGAATTGCAGCTGAGGAAACCCGAGCAACCATGGAGACTGTTTTAGGCCGAACGGTTTTCATGAAGGTAACAATGTGAGCAGATGTGAGCAGTTTGAAACGGCTTGGCATGCATTAGGCTTTTGGTAGCAAGTCTGGCGCCAACATGTCCGATCTGCAGTGTCCTTGTTCTCTTCGATGAGGCTGGCATAGATCTGGTCGTTTGTCAGCTTCTCTTTGATGAGGGGCGAAAACTTCTCCTCACAGAGTTCTTCGGGGATCCATTGGGGGGTTGTAAGAGCTGTACTTTGCTTCATCGCTGGTGACCTCAACTCCGTACAATTGCTTCTCGATTTCTGTTGGGCAGGCGACCACTGCTTCAAAAACTGGAACGATCCTGTTTCCTCGTTGTAAATTCAGGAATACCGATGCTTACAAAGCCTGAGCTGTTAACTCAGCATCCCACATGTTTGGGCAATTCTGGCTCTTACAGCTGTTGTGTGGAGCGCTCCTCAACTGCCAGATAGCGCTCTACCAGTGCGGATGCGACGTCGTCACACTCGGCCTCGCCAGGATTCCACAGCGATGACTTTGACAACCACAGTAGAAGGAAAATGGAGGTTTCCCAAAATTAGGAGTACCTTTTTGGGGATCCCCATAACAAGGACTATAGAATTTTGGGGTCTATATTGGGGTCCCCCTATTTTGGGAAACTACCAAATTAACATTTAGAAGGTGGAACTCCCAAGTCACAACCTCACGGTCTAGCATATCACTCAGCTGCGCAAGGATGGCGCTACCCTCCTACTCCATCGCCTCCTGCTCCTCAAGTAGTGGAGAACATGCAGCCGGATGTCTTGCTTCATCATCTACTAAGCCGGCCTCTGGGAGCTGGGAGAACATCTTCTGGGCCATGAGGGCAGGCTCCTCTTGTGAAGAGAAGCCGTCCAGGACCATCTCAAGCCTTTTTTTGATATATAGGGGTTGTATTGGGATAATGGAAAATAAAATGGAAACCACTATAGACTACCCCAATAATGGAGAATCAAATGGAAAAGAAAATGGAAAATGAAATGGAAACTGGGATTTGTGGCGTGGAGTTTACAGGTTTTCCCTGACGCAGCTTACCTACCGGCTTTTCATGGGTTTGGGCTCAAGGCTTAAGGTCCACTGCTCGAGGCGAACCCAGAAACCAACGGCTCAAAAGACTCGGCCTTTATCCGAACACAAAACCCCAAAAAAAAAACTGATGTTCAGGTAAGAAACTGGCTCTGCAAACTGCGGTCCTCGCACAATTCATGATTACAAGCAAGGCTACTATTGGGCCGTTCTGGAGCACTACGGGAGCTGCCAGCGATAACATCAAATTTCTCGGTTCCGCATGCTTGACAAACCAAGAATTTACAAGTCGCAGTTTGCAAAAAGCTTCAGTTGAGGCGATCGGTCCTTTCCATTACCGTCCGCTGAGATAGCAAATGTGCCATCAAAGGGGACGATCTTCTTCACCTTCGAAGGATCGGAAAGCTCCAAGTTTGCGAGGAGCTCCCCTGCCGATACAATGCTGCCAGCTCCACGTAGATGACTGACCTTGCCAGTGGCGGTGGCTTTGATCGGCATAATCATTTTCATCGCCTCTAGCTCTACGTAGGGCTCGCCTTCCTGTACCATTCCGCCATTATCCTGCAAGTACCGCACAATCTTGCCGTTGAACTCGGATCTCAGCTCAGAAGGGTCGTAGACTGTTGGCAACATGATGGTGCCGATACCGTCCAAGCGCAAGCGCAGTCCAAGTGCCTCATCTGATCCCATGACTCGCATCACGGTCTTGCCCACGGAGACGAGGAACGTCCCATCAGGCTGCGCCATGACTTGGGCCATGAACTTCTGATTCTGGATGGACAACTCAAGGAGGGAAGGCCCCAAACGGGAGACGGAGAACTGGTACCGCACACCCTCGAAAGTGATGTCCACTGGGAAGGTGTTCATCTTGGCCATCTCCCGCAAGGGCCCAAGCTGGCTCTTTGCCAGCGCAGCCTCGACCTCTTCGTCAAATGCCTTCAAGTTCTGGACAGCCCTGAAGACGGCCGCGTAGAACACAACATCGGAAATGTTGTATCTCAATGTGACCGACTTCTCCTTGATCAAGCTGTCCAGCCATGAAGTGTCAATGGTGTTCTCCACATAGGCCTCCTGCTGAAGAAGCTCCACCAGGTACTCGACAGGATTCCGGATCTCGCCTACAACCTCAATGTTCTTGAGTGAGAGCATGAGGGCCTTTCGTGCCTCCTCGCGATTTGCACCATGTGCAAAGATGTGGCCAAACTGAGAGTCCGCATACTCATGGATGCCGCCCTTGGCGCCGATCGAGAAATAGCCCCAGCATGAAACGGAACTCTGGAACTTGATGCGCTCGATTCGCCCGCTCGTGGGCTTGAAGCCATCGTCTGGATTCTCAGCTGTGATGCGCGAGGCGATGACGTGACGGTCTGGGTAAACATAGAGGTCCTCCAAGAATTTGATCGGAGACGTCTTGTCGGACTCGCTCTTGCCATAGAATCTCCGGATCTGCGGGACCCTCTCAAGCGGAACACCACTGCAAACAAGCATTTGCGTGGCAGGCAGGTTGACGCGAGTCAGCTCCTCCGTCACTGGATGCTCGACTTGCAGACGAGGGTTGAGCTCGAGAAAGTAGAACTTGTTCTCCTTGGCATTGTAAAGGTACTCCACCGTTCCTTGGCAAGTGCAGGGGCAAGTAGACTCCCGAATTAGCCCAAGGGAGGCAGGTAGCATAACAGGCATAACACATTGTCTCGACTCTCGCTACTTAGTCTGCCAAGCTTCCAGCACCAATGTACCCAATGTTCTGGGTGAGGCGCTGGGCCGCTCTTTCCATCTCCAAGAAAGTCTCCCTGGGGACCACGACCGGTGGTCCTTCCTCAAAGATTTTCTGGAAGCGCCTCTGGGTCGAGCAGTCGCGGCCATTGAGGGCAACTGCGTTCCCATGCTCGTCTCCCACAATCTGAACTTCGATGTGCCGTGCTCCCTGGCAAAGCTGCATCATGAAGATAGGAGATCCCGGCACCTCATTCTGGACCTGGAAGAAGCTACTCTCCAAATCCTTCTCCTCCTGTACCATGCGGATGCCTTTGCCTCCTCCTCCCTCTGAGGCTTTGATCATCACAGGGAAGCCGATATGCTTCACCGCCTTCTTGGCCTCCTCCACAGTTGACACGGTGCCCTTGTCAAAGATCTCTTTGGGGATGGTACCATCTGGCCCGAGGTCGGCCTGTAAGCCGTCACCGCTCCAAGGGATGGATGGAACGCCGGCGGTTTGAGCCAAGATGTTGGCAGCGATCTTATCCCCAAGCACGGACATCACAGGGGAGGTTGGTCCCACAAAAGTAATGCCCAAATCCTTCAGCTGCATGGGGAGGCTCGGATTCTCAGAGGCATGACCCCAGCCAGGCCAAACTGCATCAACTCCCTGCGACTTTGCAATCTCGACGATGAGGTCCACGTTCGCGTAGTTGTTGACGTTCTTGCCACCTGGGACTTCAATGTAGGTGTTTGCCAGCCGAATGAACTCTGCATTTGCTTCTAGGTCTTCCGGCGTTGCCATGACAACAAACTCGAAAGCATTATCCAAGCCCAGCTCTAAGTATGCCCACTGGCGCAGGGAAAGGATTGCCTTGGTGGCAGCCATGCCATTGTTGGCAATGAGCCACTTCCGCAAGACTCGCTTCCCACCCAGGTCTTTGATGTACTGCTGCAGAGCCTTCTCTGGGTCGACCGCTTCCGTGGAGCCCTTCTCCAAGACTGCGGAAGACGGCTGCGCCAAGCACACGCTTTTGGTGGGGCCACTGCGCTTCTTCGCACCTTGTCCAAGCATGGCAGCCAACCCGGTGAGCGTGGCAGCTCCGGCAGCTGAGGCTGTGTTTGAGATTGGTGCTTGGTTTGTGGGCTTAGCCAGCACTGCACCATGCTGCCCATGCTGTTTCTGTGCTCGCTGTGGTGCCAGGCCTGAGGTGGAAGTGAAGGCCAGGAGCTCCTGTGCGAGGGGCACTGCTGCTACGCCTGCTACGCCGGCAGCCATCGCAGTCGAACGTTTTCTGGCATCCTTCGGCATCTCTACGGCCTCAGCACCTACGCTGGTCTACTCTTGGGCTGTAGCGTCAAAGCGCTGCAAGACACAAAGCATTTTCAGGCACTCACATGTAGCAACACACCTGCAAGCACCATCTTCCCTGCAAGCGGAGGGTTGCAGTACCTAACACGTTGATCTCACTTAGCTCGGCACCACGTGGATGCCTGCAAGGACGGGCCTGCAAGTCAAGAGGCCACACTCAGGGAATCCATAGCAAGACTGCGACGTCACGGAAGATGCATTTGATTCCAGTTGGACGCCGAGCATGTGAGCTGCCAATCGCAGCACTAGACTGCTGCCAGGCGCGCATGCAGCAGGTGAGATGGGAAGCCGCGTGGTGCAATGCACCAAGCAGCCTGGAAGATCACCCAAAATCAACCACTCGCGATTCCGAGTGGGCATTAAAGTGCCAATGTCAAACGGACTGCCTAGATGCCTGAGCATGATTTAAAGCACGCATCCTGCAAATCACTGATTCGTGCTCTTTCCCATGAGGCGCGGCAGTTCCAACGACGGCAACAAAACCATTGGTATTACCGACGGTTTTGCATAAGCCTAATAAGGAGACACGGAATTCTACCATGCATTCTACTTCGACTTCTCAAACGCATGCCTCTTGCGCTGACTTCACGTTGCGGGGAAATCGGTCGCTGATTAATGCAGCATGCTTTCGCTGCCCTTCATATGGAGACCTTGGCACAGCAGACGTCAACAAATGTAAGTGTGCGTGACAAGCGCCCAGCCACCCCCAAACCCAACCAGGAAGGCTTTGGATGACCGAACACCCTGAAATCACTACTTGTAGGCTAAATATTGAAACTTCACAAATCCAATGAAGTTTCAAGATCCGAGGCCTGTGGGGAAACGTTACCATTAGAGTCAGGCACCATGGTCCGTAGCCCAGTTATACCAGTGCGGATGGTAAAATGGCTTAAGCCCAAACGTTCGAAATAAAAACGGTTACCTGACTGATTGGATCGGATCCTGGACGGTTCCGATCCATGCAACAGCAAGCTATCCGGCACCCGACTCCTCCGCACTCACAACTGCACAACATGTAGCCCAACGTTTTAGCAAAGGCACCTTCCGTGCGCGTAATGCCAGTTGTCCACAACCACAACCTTGGCAAAACTCCAGTAAAACGCTTCAAATCAATTTGCCAAGCTAAGCCATGCCAAGTGACATCTCCCTCCTCCAGCTTCAGGGAAGCCCACTGTGACTGCGCAACTGCAGCCCGCAAGGCCTCCAGCTCCAAGTCATCGAACTCAGTGCCATCCCCCCAAGTCGAGTGCAATGCAGGAATGCCTGTGCCATAATTGACAGATTTGTGGCTGTCCAGGATGGACTGCAGCACAGCCCGGACAGGCTTCACCCCAGAACTAGACGTGGTGTTGATCCAGGTCACCGCTGGCACCGTCCAGTTCAGCACAACAGTTCCTTCTGGTCCAGGACCAAGCTCGGCACCAGAGCTACCGCCCATCATGGCGTCGGCCCGCGCAAGGCGCTTTGCCTCTGCCCAGCTGGGAGTGCCGAACCTGTCCTGCCACATGCCTGTGGCATAGCTCCAGTTCGCTGAGTGGATCTGATCGCCCATCACACGGAAGTATGTAAGACCAAGCTTCGCAAACTTGTCTGTGAGGTTCCCAAGCGCTGTGCCCAGCATGACATTGTCGAAGAGCTGCAGCTCACCACCAACTTCTGCCGGCCGCATGCAAACAAAACTGCAAAAGCGTGGGACCTGGTGAAGGTATGCCTGCTCGCTGTGGGGTGAGACTGGCAGGTGTGCAGGAGCCCCCGCAGCAACATCATAGATCCCTTCACTCACCATCGAGCGCTTGACTGTGCCAAACTTGTTGTAGTTCCCAAGCTCAAGGCCTGGAAAACCTGCTGCCTGCCAGGTTGAAACTGCCAAAGTCTCAAACTCCTTGGCGGTCGGAATCTGCCCACCTCCCTTGATCAGGACTGCTCCTACAGATCTGAGAAGAGAGCCTGCAACGTCCAGCCCCTCGCTGCGTTTTACGACGGGAACTGAGGAACTAAGTACTCCAACTGGGCACATGAGCATCAGCCAGAACCGCAAAAAAATGTAAGCCATGGCGGCTGGCAGAAAGGCAAACACATACAAACCAACCAAACTTGAGCATAAAACCTTTCGGCAAGTTGATCACTAAGGCGTGAAGGAAGGCCGCCACCAAGTTTGCTTGAGGCTTTGAGCACCAGACTGCGCTGGGGCAGCTGCCTGGCAATTTCTGGTTCCACGCTTACTCTTGGAGCAGCCTTGATGTGCACATTGATTGGCCTGGCTGGTCGCAGCCATGGCGTCTGCAGGCAGGCTGTCTTTGGCCTGGGTTGCTTTCTTCAGTCGCGGTCAGCGAAAAAATAATGGGCTGGGCCCACGGCGCGGTCATCCGCCTGAGGAAGGGACTTACTATGACTTACTCTGACACACATATGTCCAGTGTCCAGTCTCCTCATGGCCAACCTACTGATGGCAGGTGGCTGAGGCAATGCATTGGCCGAAACACTCCTTTTTGAATGCATTCTGCTTGCACGATGGTCCTCTTAGATGTTCCTCTCCAAGATGCACGTGTCCCAAGCAGAACACAGAGGGCAGCCTTAAAAACTTGACCGCGCAAACAATACGCCTAGCCTATAGGGCGTCTCAAATTTCTCAAAACAGCGGCCCCTCCTTTCTTTGGCTGCGAGTGGATACTGATCTTTGTCATTATGCGGATCTGAAAGAAAAGACCAAAACAACCATGTTGCGGAACGTCCAGCCGCACCCAAAATCCCGCATTGGGGGACGGGCGGGCAATGATCTGATCAAAGCAAGCCCAAGCGTATTGCCTTTGACATGCAGGTGCCTGCACTTGTCAAAATTGCCTGGTTCGGCTGTGGGCACAGAACCCAGAACCAGAGTGGGGATCAGCAGAGCACTTCTTTTTCAACAAAGAAAGCTTTTTACGTTGTTGTGCCTGACAAGATGCGCCAGAGTTCTGCTGGCTCTGCCAAAAATGTGTTGAAACTCACATCCCTGCACGGGAAACAACGGAATTGCACTTTGCCATCTGGCCACCTAAAGCTGCCATCAAGTAGTCTGGTGAAGACAAATCACGTGCAAGATCCGATGCTGTCTTGTTTCTGGAGTTGCGCAAGTCCAGCCGCGCTCCCCTGACCACAAGGGCAGCCGCAGCTTCGTAGTTTCCACAAATGATTGCAATCATCAGCGGGGTGGCCTCATAATGATGATAGCCCACGCTACGCAAGAGGGTTGTCCGTCCCCCTGGTCTATGCTGCAGGCCCTTGATGCGCCAAAGCATTCCAAAAGGGCTCAGCATGCTCGGCCGATACTGCTCATTCACATCCGCCTGAGCTTTGATCAAGAGATCGATAGCTTTTGCAGACCCTCCCTGCCCCATGGCGACCCAATGCAAGGACAACGACAAATCCACCCTGTCGCTGTGCTCAAGCAGCGCTGCCATTGCCTGCAAGGAGCCTGTCACACATGCTTGGCGCAGGGCAGAAACGCCAAATGTGTTCTTTTCATTGGGATCTCCTCCAGAATTGCAGAGGTAACGGACCGCCTCTGCATCATCCACATAGCATGCGCAACTCAAAGCCGCCTGAAGAACGCCACCAACACTGATCTTGGCCCCAGCTGCAATCAGGACCCTCATGGCCTCATGATTCTTAAATTCGTGCACAAGCCCAGGACTGGGGTGCCCTTGTCGATGCCCAGCTGAGGCTGGGCTCTGGTGATTTTGTCGTTAGGGTCAGCTCGGCGCTCAAGCAGCGCTTCTATCAAGATAGGGTCCCCTCGCACTGCCGCATAGCAAAGTGTTGACCATCCAGCTTGATCGCGCTCCAATGCGTGCTGGAAGCCATTCTGATACAAGAACTTTGCCAAATGCGTCTCTGACTCCTCTCCTGCCTTCGGAGCCTCGAATCCCGGCACCAGATCATCGTTGCTGGCAGTCGGAAGGCCCCTGAGGCGAGCATTCTGCTGATTAAGCAGTATTCGATAGTTGACAAAGTCGCCCTGAACGAGATATGTGAGCAGCTTGCCCTTTAATACTGTCTTCAACACCGGGGCCACTGCAGCACGGTCATGTTCCACGGTGAAGTTGCCTTCACCTGGCAGTTTCCAGACATGAGGGACCCAACGAAAGCCAACAACACGAGACAAGTTAGAATCCCTAACTCAAGTACCCCTAAGCAGGGATCCCCAATACTTGAAACCCCCACCTGGGGAATCAATGGTCAAGGGTGTAGTAATTTCCTGATGTTTGGCACTCTTGACCAATATCCAAAAGCCGCCATGGCTCGACAGTTCACGCACGGCTTGCTCCACTCGGCACCATCCTCTGCCAGCCCATGTAAATTGACTGAAAACTTGTGATTCATCTGGACTGTCAACCACGGGGCATAGAGCCATGAAGAAATGACACTTGGAAATGTATGCCGGTATACTGCTGATGGCTCGCTGCTGGCTGCTTTCCCCGCAAATCTTGTCATCAGGGCTTTGAGGACAAGAGAAGTAGTCGTACCACAGGTACAGCGGGCTTGATTGCAACATTGATGCGGTGATTCCTCGTGAAAGTCCAAACACTGCCTCTGTAATCATGTCTGTGGATATGTGGCTCGCTCCTGAGATGATGTTTCGCAGAGCTTCTTGCAGAACCCGGAACTGTTTGAATTCAGGGTCTGGATGGGATTTCGAAACCCACTGGTGTGAGACGAATAGAGCTTGTCCCATGTCATCCTGAAATTGTGATAAGCTGCCAGCAGCCATCAACTCTTCATGAGGCTTTACCATCGTCATCTTGAACACTTCGCCGAGGAGCACCGTGTACATGGGGAACTTCATTGCAAACTCTTCTCCAAACTCGCGTGCCTTCTCTTTGAGGGATCTCGCATGGTGTGCTAATGGCGTCTCACACATGCCCTTCAGGCACTGCATTGCGCAACGATTCCAGAATCAAATTTGTGAAAGGCAAGGATAAGTATGCCTCCAGCTTGAGCCCAGGCCGGAGGCATGGGCAGATTAAAGAAACCGGCACGCGGCAGCCACCATCACTAGAAAAAGAAGAACCCACCGCACACACTCAAGCATGAGAGCCTGAATGTCGCAGCCCAGCTCACCTCACCGAACAGTGTTGCATGGCCAAAAAGTGACATGCACGAACAAGAGAGCGGCCTCCATACCCTGCAGCTGCCCCATGATCCATGTTGGCTAAGATGTGCCAAGTGGCATCCACCGGAAGGTGTCTTTACATCTGTTTCGGTTAATCATCTAAGCAGCGGGATACCGATAAGAAGGCACCTCCCTCCACGACGCTGAGCAGTGTCGAAACTTGTGGAAAAGGCTATCCGAGCCTATGGAAGTCCCTTTTAAGGGCTGGCGAGATCTGCTTTCTTGTTCCCAGAATGTTGAAAAGTCTCCCACAAGTCTTGTGTATCAAAGAAGTCGTTGTATTGCAGTATGCCGGCGCTTCTTGGGGCGTGTGTGAGAAGCTTCTGCAACTTGTTGATGGCCAGTGCACTCTTGCAAGCACAGCGGCCGGTACTTGAGATTTGCACCCAGATGGGCTGCAGACAATACGAGCAAATCAACCACTCAGTCTATTGTTGTATACCTACTTTGAGGCGTGGAGCCGGTGTATGGCATTGCAAACGCAACAGCTAACCCATCGCCAAACAACACTTGCGTGTTAACAGAGAGCGCGACCGCTTGCCCGAAGAAAGCCGATTAGATATTTGAAGCTTCTGCAAGGACCTCGCTACTGAAATGATGCGAGTGCAACATCGTCGGTTTTCTTAATGCCTTCCATCAAGGAGAGGCATGGTTGCAGCCACCGGTGTTCTCTGACTACACTGGGCCTAAACTGCACTACAGGATGCAATTTACTCTGCACTACCATATCACGCCATGCTTGCAGCGAAGCGCCTTTTCATCGAATCTGCATCGTTTGAGGACTGACACCTCAGCGGTCCCCCAGCAGCCGACGGATCGAGGAGCAGAGCTAAGAGGCCAAAAGTTGAATTACCGGAAACTGTCCTAGTTATGTCTGCCATCTGCTTGCCACCACAGCAGGTTGTGCAGACAGCGCTGCCCCAAAGACCAACATGAAACCTCACGAGTTAACTACAGTCCACGAAGTTGCAGTTACCAAACTTTCCTATGTAATTGCGACGGAGTGCTCTTCAAGAACGAATTCTCATTCTGGAGCGTCTCGAGCTTCGTCCTGGCAAACGGAAATAAGGGAAGTTTTACCCAGTCGCAGGGGCACATGGACAGCAAGTTGCACGTGCATGCTGGGGCGACGTTTTCAAACCACGCACCTCTTCACTTTACTTTTGAAACATGGAGATTGCATGCAATCATTTGAGCTCACAGCTTTGTAGCAGTGAGTCACTGTGCTGGGCATAGCTGGGCTTGTTCTTGCCCTGGCTACCAAAACGAGAGGTGGCTAATCACTTGAGCTCATAGTTGCTGTAACTGTGAGTCACTGTACATCAAAAAGGAGAGGAGGCTACAAGGCGGCCTTTCGCGGTGGTTGTCCTGCGGGTCTTCCAACTCCCCCAACACTAAGGAGCATGCACATGCAACATTCTTCACACGTCCACCTCGGGGTTCCACAACACACAGTACGCGTGGCACTCCTCAGTGCTGTACTTCGGCACCATGTAGCCGTCCACAGTTGGCGGGCTGTTGTCCAAGCTCGGACAAACCGACTCGTTTCTGGAGACTGGGAAGCACCCTGTCACGTTCTTTTCGCCCGATGAGTTTCCCGCTCCTGCTGTTGGATTGTTGAAGATCCCTGCAGTCACCAGCCAATCTGTCACCTGGGTAACGGGCGTGGGGGCTGTGAAGATGTCGAACTTCGGACAGCTGTCGGTGTAGACCAGGTTGAACGGATACTTCTCGATGTTGGCATAGTTGGTAAAGCCAGTCCGATTGTTCATGTTCCGCAGGCCTTCAATCACAGCTGGGTTCCAGTCCACCGATAACAGAGGCAACGGGAATGTGGAGAGACCAAAATCCCACTCTGCTTTCAGGATGATCGTTTCAAAATCTTCCGTCTCAAAGCCGATGGTCTGCCACATGTCCTTCGCGAATCGCAGCGGAATGGGGGCCTGTGTTAGGTGCAGCGGTAGCTCACAACGCAGAGAACCTTGGAGGAACTCACTTCGACGGTCTGTACACCTGGGGCCGATGTACAAATTGAAAACCACATGTGTCACATTTTCGACTGCCAGGTCATCCTCAATCCATCGGCACCAGCACTGGGCGGCCGGAGGTATGGAAGGTTTTGCTGCTGCGTTCAGGAACGGCCCAGAAGCACCCATGTGAGTCCAGAGTGACACCTGTTCTGGATATCCGGTGTCACTGCCTAGGCTTGTGACACGTGAGGTGTCAATGACAAACAAGTTCCAATCATCACGGACTTCCTTCCGCAGTTTGTCCTCCTGCTGCGTGGTCAAGAGGAGGTTGACTTGCTCAGAGGGGTCGGAAGCAAGGTCAAAGTGGCAGTAGGGCGTGCTGCAGGGTCGCACCCACTTGTAGCCCAAGTCTGGGATGAACTGCGAGTTGTTCGGGAAGTTGGCAGTCCAGTTCCCGTCCAAGATGATGGTTCTGTTTTCCGTGAACCAGATCTTCCTGAACTCTGAAATGTGCTGGCCGACACGCAGCTGCATGGAATCTGAATACGAAATCCTCCTCGGGACCTGCGTCTTGTACACGATGGCCTTCCACATCGGGACTCCAGTGAGAGGGCTGCGTTCGTTCCGCATACCTCCCTCTGGATATTGCTTTTCCGTAATCATCTCAAGCAAGGTCTCTGACAGATCATTGATGGCCATCACGGTTTTGCTTGTAAAGGGCTTCATCCGGTACTTCTTCAGGGCGAGGCCTACCCAGCCTCCTGTGAAGAAGGCGTTCACACGCTGGCCGCCGTCAAAGTTGTTGAACTTCCCCCCACGCAGGGGGTAGTTGTTGTTGGCCGACCCTGCATAGATGGCACCACCATTGTCAGACGTGACAAAGATGATTGTGTTGTCATACTGCTCCTGCTCCTTGAATGCTTTGACAAAATCTCCTATCACCCAGTCCACATAGGTGAGGGCGCCGTAGGTGGCTGCTCGCAGGTCTTCATTCAAAGGAGCGCTCGCGCCAGTAATGTTCGGCGCAAAGCGACGCGGATACTGAATAGGCAGGTGTAGAAGCTGCAGGGCATGAACTAGGAAGAGGGGTTCCGCTTCGTAATCATGCTCGCTGATGATCTGTCGTGAGCGGCGCCTGATCTTCTCGTCGGCCACGTCGTCCAGCTCCTCCTTGAAGCTCTTGCAACCCACGAAGAGCTCCTCCGTACTCATGTTGCCAGCTTCTGCCTCGGCAATGAGAAGTGGGCACCAGGAGGAATTCTGATCTACCATGCCATCCTGCCGCCAGAAGCCGTGCAGGGCATTTAAGGTTGGTGGGCCAGCACCCCCGGCTGCGAAGGCTGGCTCCGTGCCGTCGCAGCTCTCCATACTGTCGCCGTACCAACCCATGAAAGTGTCGTAGCCCATGCCCATCGGCGTGTTCAGGTAGGCACCCCCGCCGATCCCCCACTTGCCATTCAAGTGGGTCCGGTAGCCCATCTCTCGGAGGCGGTTGCCCAGGGTCAGAGTGTTCGGCTGCACACCTCCCACAAAAGGCGTGAACTTTTCCTCTCCCCTCACATCCTTGAAGCTGGCATTGGGCTGCCAGTTCCACACGTTGTTTGCAACATGAGGGTTTAGGGCGTCCAGACGGCCTGTCTGCAGGGCACCACGGCTTGGAGCGCACCAAGGCGTGGCGTAAAAACGATCCATGATGATCCCTTCTCCCGCCAACTGATCCATGTTGGGCGTGAAGACGTCCGGATTCCCTGAGGCATTGGCACGGAAGCCAACCTGATTGAAGCCCATGTCGTCGATGATGACGATGAGAATGTTGGGTTTCTTCTTGCCACCGTGGGAGTAGGAGTTGTAATGGCTGTAGCCATAATACCTGTGCCGGTGCCACCGGGCATCCTGCAAGGAGTGCTGCATCAACTCGGAAACTTCGGGTTCTTGTTCTGCCTGGCAGCGCTCGCCCTGACAGGCCCAGGCCGCCAAGCCCAGCCAGGCCGGCGTCAAAAGAAAAATCAAGCCCACCATTTCTGCAGCCTGAGTAAATGACGCAGGTACTAGACTTGGGTCCCAGTCTCTCCAGCCCAAATGGCTCCGGATTATAGACCATGTCGTACCAAGCGCTACCATCAACACCATATTTGCTTAAAGATTTGGTGGTTGGTTTCCTATAGTTTTTAAGCATGTGCGTATACATATATGAATACATACATATACATTTGATGATATGTGATATATGGCTAGTTATTTCAAGCCTGGGCTGGCTTCTCTGCTCGATTCTTTTCTTTGTTGGAGGCCAACAAAGGCTCCTCGTCTCCGGCAGCAGCTTGGCGAGCCGAAGCGCCTGCTTTTCCACTGGGACAAAAACCACAATCCCTCAACCCGGACAGCGCAGGCCAACCTCGCATGGAGTTCTTTTTATAATCGAAGATTGAAGCATTTTGGCAAACTTAGGGAAACTTGCGCAAATTTACCTGCTAGACCTCCTCCATTTATGGCTCGGGGCAGTAGCTCGACCAACTCTCATAATAACAGACATTCGTTCTACTGTGAGGTGCTGGTTCTTGGAATTGTACTATCACGGCGTTTGTGACTAGTCCTCATAATAGGACTTCCACCGTTTGCCGGATGCTTCTCTGGACCCTGAATTTAAAAATGCCCGCTACCCGTCATGCGGACTTACGGCGTGAGCCTCGCCTATGGCCTTGGGTCAACCATACCAGGTTCTGGAGGTGGCTGTTGCGAGTGGGGTCCGAGACATGATGTGGCCGTACTCTAATAAGACTCCCCCCATACAATCCCCTATATGACCCCCCTGCAGGAAGTCTAGGCTGTAGCTCATACGGCCATCAGGATCCCTTAGATGTAGGCTTTGGGCATTGGCGATCAGGCCTGGTGCGCTCAAGGCTTGAGGATTCGGATTCAGGCAGTAATGTATTCAAAGCTTAAGGATTAATCTAAAAACGTCAATCGAATGCAGATTCAGTCTACATTTCGCCCTAAGGAACTACAGCCTCAACGATGTGGCCTTGCGGGCGTACGCAGCTTTATGAGGCGTGTTCAAGACCTGCAATAGCTACATCGGTGCATACAGCCGCAAAGGTTTCACACATTGGAACTGAGCATAAATACCTTGGCCTGCACATTAGCGTTTCGGGCGTTTCGAGTTTCGGTGCGTGGCACGGCACGCTTCGCGCATCAAGTTGTTCACATGTGTCACATGAGTCCCATGTCTGGCAGGCCTGCAGCCAAAATAAGATGAGGCAGAACCAAATCAAATACGCAAAGAAATAAGTGAACAAAAATGAACAAAACAACATGGATCTGGCACGAGCACAAGGTGCACCACGAGATTCGGCAAGAGCAGCCAGGAAGAAGGCAGATTAGAACCTCCGCCATCCAACTTATCAACCAAACTCAGGCAAGGAGCCACTCTATGAAACCAAGATCAGTGGACGGTAAGACCCGTATGTCGTCAACTCACAAGGTGTGCGGGCAGATCAAGGCAATCCCGGGCTGCCTGTATGGGCATCGGAGCAACCCAGCGCCCAACGGCATCTGGCTGCGGCACCCAGCGAGGCCCTCATGACATCTCATAAACAAGCTACCTGAATACAGGACCAGAATCTCAACCCCAAATCTCGAAGAGAGTTTTGGTCAATACCAGAAAGCGCGAAGAAGCCACATGAAGCCTGAAAGCTTAAATCGTTTCTCTGGTCTCTAGGTGAGTGTCCCACTTCCTTCTGAGAGCGAATCCAGTTGGCATCCTGCAGCCCGACACTCCCGTTTCGGTGTTGCTTCATGCTCCATGCCGCTCGCCACGCGGCGGACTCAAGCTAAGCAGATTCCTCCTACCCTAGCTGGTGCCAAGGAGCAAAAGAAGCTCGTGATTGGACATCTGAATACAGCTGAAACCATGACCGCTGGAATCGCGCAGCTTTGCTCTTCAAACATGTCTCCACGTCCGGATCTCCAGCCAATCTAAATCTCGTTGCCTTTTTGCGCGCACGGCGCTATCAAACAAAGCACAGCTACTAGTATCATCTAGAATTTTCAGATCACGAAGCCAGAAAAATGCTCGGCACAGCCGGAACTGCTGCTTCGCTCTCGGCGCTTGTCGTACGTTCATATTGATTGTTCTATACTTATTATAAATATGTTCGTATAATATTGTTAGTATTATTGTCCTACATGCGATTTATCTTTATTCCTATTAGTATGACTATTATTCACAAAAATAGCAACTAGTAATACTGAGAGACGACGTACGTTATTATTAAGAAGGTTGCTGAGATCGTGCTCGGCTTGACTTATGCAGCCTCAAAGCACGGCGGCCACGCGAGCGCGCAGCTGTTCCTGTTTTTACTAGTTAGTTGAAGAAATGAGCCTGCTTTGTGCATAGCTCCCCCCCCCACCTGTCCTCTGGCTTGACGGCAGCTACAGCGCACTAAGCTGCCTCGCCCACACGAGTTTGTGGGCAAGAGTCTTGACTGAGAGCACCTGTCAGGAAAGGATCGTGCATGCAAACCACGCGGCAAAGAGAACAGGTGACAAAACCTCCTTATCAGGCACACGCAGACCCTTTAGTCATCCCCCAGGCCTTCCAGAATTCCGGGTCAACACTGCTGACGACAGGCCCTTTGCAAGTCCCATCAGGGGTGTAGACGGCCTTTGCACAGCATGCAAGAGAGCTTGAAGAGTTTGAGCAATGTGCAAGAAACATCTCAGCAACCTATGACCTGACCTTCAGGTCTTCGAAGCTGTCAAACTCCTCCGACAATTTTTGCAGGTAGGCTTCGCGGAAAACCCCTTTGGCGTCAAAGCCATCGAGCCATTCAGAGAAAGACCTGTCAGGGTGGCACACATCTGAGCTATAGTCTAAACTCCTTAAAGGGGGATTATATAGGGGATTATATGGGGGACTACTATAGGGGTTATTAAGGGGGATACTAGGAGTTTAGATAATGACTCATCTAGACTCAGACCTTTGGCTGTGCCAGAGCGGCAGGGTTTTTCCGGCTTCGGGCTTCGGGCCATGCTTCTGTGGGTCATCCCTGTTCTCCGCTGACCGATGGAGCTGCTACATCCAGGAATCCATATAGGATATTATAGTCCATGGCTACAATGTATTTATGATAGTATATCATTATAGTATGAGATTATAGTATATCATAGTATATTATAGTCAGTGGAAGCTCAATCCCTGTACCTTGCCCGCTTGCTCTGGGGCTGCTGTTTCTCCTGACCCGGCGAGTCTTGCTTTGAGCTTTGCAACAAGATGCAACAAGGGATTATCAAATTCAGAGACGGTCCTGGTCCTGTATCGCCGCATGCGGACGCTTGACAACTGCAGCGGTGTCCTGGCTCTACTTGCTTGGTCTAAGAAGTCTGTGCCTTGCTCACGCTGGACAACAGCATGTCTGCACACTACCTCGCTACAAGAAAGAAGACAAGTACATAAGGGACCCTTAGTGGTGCAAGATTTCCTCCATTCACCGTAGGATGAGGGCACTGCAGATGTACTAGGGTTGCTTGATGGTTAGACGATGTTCACTTCGAACAATGTCTATGTATCCTGTTGCAAGACAGGATTGTAGCTGCTGAGCCACTGAGGCTCACCAACACAGATAAGCCGCCTTGTTAAACGCAGGGCCTGTCTGCCATGTCGCTGGAAAACAGCTTTGGATCCCACACGCGTCCTGACGTTTAGCTTCCTGCTGCGGAGCTTCCTTCCGCGTCGTTGGCCTCGCCTTTGACCTCACCACGTTGCCTTCAGAGAAAGTGCACGTGATTTGCATGAAGTAGAGAAGCTTTGCCACAAGTACACTTGCGATGGCTGTCAGAGCCTGCATGAGGTGCTGCGATTGGCTGCTGCTTTGGCTCAGGCTGAGGGCCTGCATAAGTCTGCTGCAAGCAAGAGTTCAAGAAACAAAACGCGACAAACTGCATGACCCGGCCTTTGCAGCCCCCCCATCCGGGAGCATCATCGAGCCTCAACGCCTGCCCGTGCAAAGAAATTGTTTTTGCACACAGCGCCGGCGCCGCATTAGAATCCATGGCTTAAGAAAGTGAGAAGTGAACAGACCGAATTCAGAAAATGAGCCACTCGGTTTCCGCCTTGTCTAGGACCTCATTTTTGGGTATGTAACATGAAACTGAGCCCTGCTGGATAATGCTTTTGGGGAAGGCCCGTCTGACTTTGTGACTCTCATGAAAAGATGATTCGGACCCTGTCCTCGCTAACACAGGCATGGAGTATGAAGAACCTCTATCTCACTGTGGTCTTCACAAAAGCTACAAACACTGCAGCACTGTCACCCTAGCCATACCAGTTGAACAACACTGAAGCCCCCGTGAAGTCGTGAATCTCGTCACGCTCTCGTCACCTTGATCTGCACTTTTCGGCCAGGGTCGTTGCTCGATCCCTGCCTCAGCCCACATACAGGATGCAGCAAACAGCCTCTCACCTAGGTTTGCAACACGCTGGACAGATCTGACCAAACAACCAGAAGAAGTAACATCAGGTATCTGAGAGCTATTAGCGTAACATACCGCCCCCCATGACATCATGATGTACAAGTTAACGCAACAGACATAAGTTCTCTTCCCTGAATGTTAAGCTGCAGTTGATGGACTGCCAGATCCAGCCACGCCTCGGTGGAACTTCGCGCAAGTGGACCTGGGCAGCGGCAAATCCAAAGCACAATCTCAAGCCTGGGCCTCTTGCAGGCTGGGCGACAGGTGCCCGTGCCCAGACGAGATCATCGCCCACTTCAGGGCCTATCCACCACATATTGTCCTGGCAGTACATCTTTCTAGCAAGTACTTTGGCATCGGTATCCGGATCTGCCTGGCCTGGTAGTAGATCTTCACTTGAAGCTCCTTGTTCGTCCGCTTCGGCAGCCACTTCACCTCAAAGCGCAAGTCTTTAAATGTCTTCATGTGGCAAGCATCCAACATCTTAGGAAGTCATCCGCAACATTTGCATCAAACATCAGCAAGGCAGTCCGTGGACAACCCTTTTTAACGATTTGGGCCTCAACCGAAAAGCTCCTACAACTCAGGACTTCATAGCATTACATTGATTGATGGCCAGCGCGTACAGGGAAGTCCAATACGGGCGAGTCTCAAATACCGGTGAATCATTCTCGCCACGCTCATCTTCGGCGATGCCATATAAGCCTCATGGCACAAATCGTAACCATCCCGCAAATCTTTGACCACATGAGCAATTGTCTAAACTGCAAGCATCCCCCTTAATAAGCCCTGTAATAGTCCCCTATACAATCCCCTTTCCAACCCCTCTGAAGGAGTTTAGACTAATGTTGCACTCACTGTTGTACAGGCACCTTCTTTAATGCGTTTCCGCCGCCGCTTGTTCAGGATCTGGGCATTGTTGGGAAGGTCCTGTTTAATCTGTTTTGGTTTCGGGGCCCTACAAATACGGTACGGAATCCAGACCATCCCTTTTAAAATAATCTCCAAGGCCTCTCGGGGCCCTCAGTACCGTGGGACCCTTATTCTGGACGTCTAATTCCTGTTTTTCTGGGGGCCCTGTTGTTAGGGGGGAGGGGTGGGGGCCCCTAAGATTAAAGATGATTAAAGTGAGTCCAACATTATAGCTCGCATGCGTACCAGGCACCGGCCAACAAAAAGGTTATCACTGGCTCCTTCGACAGAAAGCGCAGCAAGCATTTTGGCAAGCATTGTCACAGCTTCAAACACATGAGACAGGCCTCGGATAGCAACTCGCCAGTGACACGAATAAGGAGAGCGTAATGTCCATCCTCGTCCTTCCTAGAGTGTACCAAGCAGGTCAATGCGAGCAGCCAACGCGCCGAGCACAGCGCATGATCTAATCGCAGACTCAGCGTCGACAGGTCACCTGGTTCCAAACGCAAATTGGCCAATTCACCGGCCAGCGAAATGGCTGCACGGTGGCTAGGCAGCTGCTGCTCATCCTGCCAAGGATCCGCGCGATTGGCTTTCTTAGTAGAGTTGGTCCAAAAAGCCTTGGCCCTTCTGCGAGCCCTTTAAAATGCAGCCGGGACTCAGCAAAGGGCTTCCTCCACCTGTCCGACTCCAAGAGCAAGTTGCTGTTCACCAGCAGTGCCGCGAAAAAGCAAGGACCACACTGGTCCTGGAACCTGGGTTGTCGCAAGCTAGGCTGCGGTGGCATGTTCGGGCCAGCAGAGAGCTGTTTCCCAAATGGAGACCCCAGGCTTGAAGCTTTTGATAGCTCAAAGCGCACAATCTTTGGATGTCGTTGTGTGCTGTGCAAGCTCATGACATGAATAGTTGGCAGAAATCGCTACAGCAGGCAGTGCTCGGGAAGCCCCTCAAAAAGGGGATAAAGCCAGAAGCCGGGTAGCTTTCGCAATTTGGGATCATCCTTGGCTTTGATTGCTTCCATCAGATCCTGTGTTGCCCAACGGCCTGGATCCAGGGATGCTCTGCTCCCAGCCTACTACATGACTGCTTCGCAAGCCCCGATCCTCCGCGTCGCTTCGGCAGGGCCTGAATCGCAGTCTCCACGTGCGCCACCAACTTATCCAATTCAATGCGCGCTCCCTGTGACACAGCATGGACCAACAAATCCCTCGCTTTGGCATGAAATTGTACAGGAAGTCTTGTCCAAAGCCTTGCCTGGGTACAGCGCGACTTTGGCGCATTGAGCAGCGTACCAACTAGCTCCTAGGCTTTATGCTGACTGTGTCTCAACTGCCGCCCCTGACATTACAAATCAAATACTACTGAATCTCTTTCCAACCGGAGCTTGGCTCCTGCATGCGACAACGTATGCACCAAGCAGACAGGACAAGCCCCTGAAGGGTTACACATATTCTCGTATGCAAAGGAAACCGTGCCTTCTGAGTAATTTCCGCTGCTATGCGTCCACATGCCTTTAAAACCCTGAATGTCGGGAGTCTGGAAGGGATCTGTCTTTGTCGTTCCCTCCAGATTTGGCGTGCTCGATGAGGGCACTGAGGCCTCAGAGCAGATCGGGTTCTGGCTGGCCGGCGCTCTTCAGCCTGGGTTACTTCCTGACACTCCATGAAACTAGACATGCCGTACGTTGTTCGAAGGCTTTTGCATAAGCCCCAAACTGGACAGCCCATGAAGGAATCCACGAAGATATCTCAATGCACCTGCATCCTGAAGAATCTTGACGGCCTTCCGCAAATGAGCTATGATGTTTGCCTTGGCTGTCGGTATTTAGAGTGCCTGGCTTCTGTCGCTACTGCCATAAAGACGAACCCACTCATGCCGGCAACGGGCAAAGTCGGCCTTCGTCTTCTTCTGGCAGCAGAATTCCAGCACTTGCGCTGCAAACACAGAACTTATGACATGGGAGTGGATCCCATTGTCCACCATGAGGCCGGGCAGCTTCATCATCTCCTGCCCCGGCATGGCAGGCATCCACTCACGGCAAAACTTCTCAGCGGGCTGGAACTAAAAAAGTTGAGCAACAATCCTGCCTGGATCGAGCTGCCCTGGATGCAAACGAACATGGCAGGCGACTCCTTTACCTTCTCGAGCAGTTTGTGCCGCGCGGCCAGCTCAGCAAGAGCCCATGCTGTTTTGTGGCATAGGTCCTGAGCTCTGCAATCATGAGCCCAAAAGGGCCTGTACAACCCCTCGTCTTGAGGTTTGCTGTCACATGATCCTTCTCTTTTCATCTCTTCCGGTTATTGACACTCACGATCTGTCATCATTTTCCTCGCTTGTCGTCGAACTTCTCGTTTTCCCAACTAAAATTTGCCTTCAGTCAATATGCTGGGGCAGCGCGAAAGGTTTTCACCAAAACCTGACAAGATCCACGAACACGAATGCAGACACGTGACACGTACTTCCATCCTCTCCTCTATCCTCTATCCTCTCCTCCATCCTCTCCTCCACCCTATCCTCTATCCTATCCTCTACACTCTCCTCGCTTTCTCAAAACATCTCCTCCATCTCTCCTCCATCTCCTCCTCCCCTCTCGTCCATCCTCTCCTCTATCCCCGCCTCCATCCTCTCCCCCATCCCCTTCTCCATCCTCTGCTCTCTCCTCTCTCCCTTCTCTTCTCCCCTGTCCCCTCGCTCCACTCTCCTCTTTCCTCACTCTTCACTCCTCCCTCCTCCCTCCTCTCGCCTCTCTCCTCTCTCCCCTCTCCTCTCCTCTCGTCTCCTCTCCCGTCCTCTCCCCTCCTCTTCTCGCGCGAGGAGGCTCCAAAAGCGACAACAGCTCTGCGTTTCGCAGCCAGGAACCCCCTGATCACTGTGACTGTTGACACTTTTGAAACGCGAAGACCAAACGCAACTGCATTTCGCAACCAGGACCCCCCGATCCCTGTGAATGTTGACGCTTTTCAGACGCGAGGACCAAAGCCACGTCCAACAGTGACGACAGTTCTGCATTTCGCAACCAGGACCCCCCCGATCACTGTGACTGTTGACACTTTTGAAACGCAAATACCAAACGCAAGTCCAAAAGCGACAACATTTCTGCATTTCGCGACCAGGAACCCATGACTGTTGACACATTTTGAGCTGCAACGACCAGACGCAAGTCCAAATGACAACAGTTCTGCGTTTCGCGACTACGACGCATGCGCGACACTCGCGGACGCTTGCAAACGCTTGCGGACGCTTGCGAACGCTTTGCGAACACAAACGCGACAGCTTTTGGTCACCTCCTGGACCCTGGACCCCAACCTTAAAACGGGAACCCTTCTGCAGAGCCTTCGGGAAAAAGATATGGGTAGTTCCCGAAATTAGGATGCCAAATTGGTACCCTAAATATTGGTAACGTAATGTGACCTAAAACCAAGAAGGGCCCATAGTTTTGAGAACAACAAGCCAAGTCAAGACAAGCAACACCATATCGCGCAGCGCTGGCCTTCTTCACCGCCTGGATCCAGAGTGCGCTTTACTGGCATGCTCTTAAGGAGCTCAAATAAAGGTTTACCAGAATGGGTAATATCCAGTAACTCATATATGTTAATATGGTTTCCCTATGTTTTCCCAATATAGTAACTCAAAACAGCCCAGTTTATCGCTTGGTTTTGAAAGTCTACTAGTGATACACAAAATGGTCTTGCGCCAGCCACCGAGCTGCAGAGTCCAGCAATCTTCCTCGAAGTGTCTCGATTTCTTTCCAGCGCTGTGTCTGGGTGATCCTTTGCGCGGGGTGGGGGGGTGGCCTAGGGGGAGAGGGTTTTGATTCATCACAGAAATCGACGCCACGTGGCTAGGAATTCACAACAAACCCGTTTCTCCAAGGAAGCGTCAAGACACCTCACTCATTGCCCCTGTCACTCGTTGACCCCGCACACTTCAATTGCTTGTCCCAGGCAGGGCTGGCCAGCCAAGAACTTTTGCAGCCGGGTATCTGAAAAGCATTGACTGCCATGCTTGCCAGATTCTGTGGTGGAAAGGCTGAGAAACGAGCAGCGTCAGCAAACAAAGGAAGATCCAGGATCTGAGGTGCTTCCAGTCTCGCCGCAGCACCCATGAAATAATCCTCAGCAGGTCAGCAGCTTTCGACTTGCGAAACTCAAAACACTCAAGAACTGGCTTCACCAGTCTCGCGCCAAGCCGCTGCCACTTCTGCTGGAGAGTCCTGTTCAGATGATGACAGAAAAGTTTAACTGCACTATTGGCTGACAGAAGGCACGAGCATGTATATGGAGGATGATGCTAGATTCGTAAGAATGCGGCCAGATTAGCCTGCTTCCCATTCCTCATGCCAGATACAGGAATGGTCCTGTGGCGCCAGCTTCTGCAAGGCGCCCCAGGCCTCTGCGGGTGACACTGAACAATTTGGTTCCGAATTGTTCGGCTGGCTTTGTGTAAGCGGCTCCACTGACATTAACTTTGCACTGACTGAACCGAACTTGGCTGCATCTGCTGGTGGACACCTCTAATCACCTCTATGTGCCTACATGAGCCACCGGATGACAAAACAAGCATCGCGCCTGCAAAGTTTGAACAAGGTCATCCAAGCATCCAGGAACCTCGCTGCAGCATCAAGATGCATGTTGGAAAACGTGTTGACCCCTGCGTGGGGTTGTGTCAAGGATTTCACACGAGCCCCTTCTGCAATCTGGCCGGATTGCTGATATGGCTACTGCTGCCAAGCAACACCCAAATTTTGAAGGGCTTGAACCACTCTCTTGAACGATTCAGGTGTGGGAGGCCCCTGCCTGCAGATCCTCCCAGCAGCCTGCACGTCAGGGGGCATTGCCAGAGATGATGGCATGTCAAACACGTGAATTCCATCTGCCCGGTTGCAAACACGTGAATTCCATCTGCCCGGTTGCCTCTGACAGCAATGTAGGCAGTTCCTGAAGGGCGAAGCCTTCGTTGCAAAGCTACAAACCAACTGGTGCTTGCCTTTGTGCTCTGGCACCCGACCGTACAACATCGTGCAACCAAGCCACGCTCAGAAGAGGCACGCAGTTTGTGCACGAATACACATATTGGCTCCAGTGCTGCCAGGTCAGTGGCAGTGTTGCACAGCGACTCGATCACCTGAGGGCAACAGATTCAGGAGCAGTATCCAACACTCAGCTGCACCAATTTCAGTAGCCACGTCGCTTTACAATCCGCTGTGAGGAGAAGAGATCCAAATGGTTCCCGTGTTGCTCCATGCCAGAACTTCTTCTCCAGTCCATGGCCCTGCTTATCGAGGAGCCTAGCATACAGGAACTGACGCCAAAAGAGTGGAAGCTTTTAGCATGTGCCTATTGCTGGAAGGCCGTGGACATCTCTTGCTTCCAGAGTCTGAAAGCTCCGAAAAGTGCCGCTCATGGACAATGGAACTGACAGTGTACAGAAACCTGCATCTAATTCCCAGTATTCCCCAATCAGCAAACCCCATTCTCGCTCGTCTGCTCCAGACCAGGCAGCTCCAGGTTCGCAGCATGCAGTATCTTGAGGCAGCATTTCTGAAAGTCGCCCTGCAGGCAGGGCCACTTTGGTGAGAAGACATCTCACTCAAGAAATTTCTTCGGGATCCTTGGCCTTGGAGAGCTCCCACAATGCCGCACCTTCGTTGGCCTCATGATATATCATGCTTGCATTGGTACATGCCCCCTGCCCGTCCACCATCTTCCAATGCTGAGGCTCTTCTTTTTTCTGATTCATGGCAAGCTTGTCCTGGAGCAAACCAATGGCCTGCAAATGGGCAGTCGAAACATTAAAGCTTTATGAAGCTCTTTCGTGTTGCCTCCACGACCTCAATGACTGAAGATTTGAGCCGGTCACGCAAGTCCTGGCTAAGGCATAACTCCCGGACCGGCAACTTAACAAAACAAAAATCGGTCTGGAGTGTCACCACCTCATCAGGTGCATTAGTCTGGCTGTTTGATGTACTTGTATGTAGACTTCATGATGATGTCCTCCGCTGACCCTCTCGATGCCGACTCAATTTTCTTGAACAGGCTTCTGACCATGGTCGCCATGCGACGTGTGAGGGGCTCCTGGTAGGACTGTCTGCACACTGTAGCAAGAGCAGTAGTACTACACCACAGGAGTCTTCCCGATCCTTGCAAGAGGCATCTGCGAGAAGCTCTGCAACCTTCTCCGTCGGCGCGCTGTTCACCTGTTGCTCGAACTCTTCCTCGCTGGTGGTTCGTCGAGCTTTGGCAGGCTGGCTAGCCGGATCGGCTTCGCGTTTTTGTGGTGCTGGCTGGGCTGGTGGTGCAGGCGGGGGCCCTGCTGCGCTCCTTGCAGCATTGGCTGCGGCTATGTGTGCCTGCGCCATCATGCCAGGCATGCCAGCATATTGCTGCCAGGCAACTGCAGGCGCTTGTCGGATGCCAGCTTCGTGCACTGTAAACTCGTGGTGGAGCATATACTCAGTCACGAAGAACACTACGTTGTGGTCTACTGCCCATGACGCGTCAACTTCAAGACTGAGTTCCTTGGCCACGTTATAAAGCAGTGCGTGCACGTGATCTTTGACTAGTGGCACCTTGGTGAAGGTCGGGGCACGAGCAAAATGCATGGAAGGACAGTCACTGTGGCATCAAGAGCACTTGTAAAGGAGTTATGGTAAGGTCAGCGCAATTGTGCTCCACGGCAGCCATGCTTGCTGGTCAGCCATCTGGCTCCAGGCGAATCGGACCACTGTCAATACTGCCAGCGTACAGTGCAATGGCTGTGGCGAGGATAGGGTTATGCCCACTTTCCACAGAACTTTCAGCAGCCTGTCTTCAACAAATGCACCCATGTTTTGTGTAAGTTGCTTCCGCGACCACAACCGCATCAACGAGCACATTGCTGTTGTGTAGACCTAGGCCAAGCATTTTGTCAAATTGCTGGGGGTGCCTGAATCTTGCTGCCACTGCAAAGGCGGGAACCTAAGAAAGTCAGGTAAGGCGTTGCCAACTGAGGACATAGACTGGGGTGGCGTCTTTCACAGCGCCATATGCGCATCTCGACGTCAATATCTTGAGGATGGTCCTTCCAATAGGCGCCTCCCTGTCTGTTAGCGCCTTGACTATCCTGACAATGCCGCTGGCCCACTGATCCGGGCACGGAAGTTGCAGCTTTTGAGAGGTGTCGGTCAGGACCTGGGTTGGCCGCTTAATGTCGTGTTCGGATTACTAATGGGGTTCGGATTAGAGCTAAATCGGGCCGGAACGGAATACTATAAATGGGTACGGGTTAGAGCTAAATCCGGTCTGAACGGATTCATTACAACATAGGAAAGGAATTGCGCATGCTCGCTTCTGAAAATGCCCAGCAGAAAACAAGCAACCGACCCCCTAATTAAGTATCTGCAAAAGAAGAATAATATCTAAGTTGCAGACAATCATATGCTAAGCCTTAAGGCCTGTGGATCTCAAACCTACTTACAGCCTTTGGCCAGAAACCAATTCGACTATCGATTTCTTATAAGACCGCTTATTCAAACAGCCCAGGCAATCGTCTCTGCTAAGGGGTATTATACCGAGACCGCCGGAACGGAATAATAAATGTTAAAAAGGGCACGGAATAAGGGCTCTGGCAGGCATGGACCCCAGAATCTACAAAAGAAGATTGAATTGAAATTGCAGATACTTATACGCTAAGCCTTAGGCCTATGGATTTCAAGCTTACTTCCAGCTTTTTGGCCAGAAACCTATTC